CAGTACTTCCCCACCTCACAGGGGTGTTGTAAGGATAACGACACTAAAGGTTGGGAGGTGCTCTGATCCTATGGGAATTGGGGCCATATAAAAAGTACCTTTGACAAACACACACTAGCAAATCAGCCCTGCTCAACTACATAGTCTCTTATGGACCGGCAGGCCTCATATCAGTCTTGCCTCCTCCACTGTCCCTCGATCCCAGCTATCTCAGCTCAGGGAATCCCTATTCCACTTCATGTCCCTCTCTGTTGTGGGACTGCGACTGTGTGACTTGCATGCCATTCCCAGAATTCCTTTCCAGCTCTTCTGAAGCAGCGCCAGGGCAATGCACTGGAAATGGCTTGTGCTCTGTTTTTGTCAATAGGAGGAAGCTATTCTGCCTTACTGTGCTGTGCCAAAGGACTCCTAAGGGAACGCTGTCCACCCGCTTTCCCAGACATGGTGACACACTGCATTTGCTTGAGCTGGGAACAATCCTCACCAAAAACCCAACAGCCTGTTCTTGGTGGCTGGCCATATGGAGGCTGGGTGTATGTGTTCTGACTCTCCATACATACTCTATTCCAGTTTGGCTGGCAGCTTTGCCCCTCTCTTTCCCTGGCCCTCCATGTCATTGTTTTCCCATTGCACACCCCAGAATTGTAGCTGTTGCGTATAGGAACTGGGAGTGTCTCTTTAAAGAGAACACAGAGAGCACCACTAGAGGGCTCACTCACTATTGACTTGGAACCTGACTGTGCCTGTGTGATTTCTTCCTGTTGTGTGCACTAAGGACACAACAGTAGCCCTGGAGGAGTAGCTTGTGAACACCCACCCCGCTTCTGAGTTAATAACAGTACTTAGATTCATTCCTTCCATGTCGACCACATGGACCAGGGTCACTTCACAGAGCCAGCTATTTAAAAAAAAAATATTTTAATTTGTAATTGAACTAAGAGGATTAAAAGTCATTTATTTCTGGGACATTTTTATACAGGATGAGCTGTGATTTTTACCCCCTTGTTATAACCCTTGTGCTAGGGCAACTTCAGTGTTTACTCCTCGCAGCCCCCTTTGCGCCTCTCATCAGCCCACAGTATGGTAATCTTGGACTCCATCCATACCCCTAGCAAGCAGGGAAGGCTGTGCTGTGACCCTTGGCATGGCATTACTGGCCATCATCTCAGCAGAGCATAGTTAAGATAATGGAGGCTAGGAGCCATCTGTCCTGTTTTCTCCATTTCCTCCACAAACTTTTGATTGCCTGTCCAGAAAGCCCCAGTGAGCCAATTACTTTGTTTTACAGGATGCAGTGCTCAGGAGATAGGAACCATGAGCAAAACAAAGTAAACCCAGCATTTGTGGTTCATTTTATACCTCTTTGCACTTCAAGTCCAGAATGAGTGTGATAATATTTCAGGTTTTGGATGAATGCTTGGAGTGTTGAATTATTAAACATCAAACAGTTGAAAAACAAGATTGCAAATCATCCGTTTATTCCCAGTATATTTATTCCTAGCATATGGCAGTATGAAAAGGAAAGGCCGACGGAGGTCCAGACTGCTCCAAGGCTATACTGCATGCACATTCCCAACAGAGGCCTTTACTGTTGCTAGTTCTGCTGTCTAGGGGAGCAATATTTCCATGTGAAGATGATGCAATGTCTTTCATGTGTGCTGTGGTGGCAGCAGAAGGAAGAAGGAACTTCCTGGTGTCTTCCACCACACGAACCTCTTGCAGCCATGTAGCACTGAATGTATGTCCGCTCAGGGGAGCCCATGGGTATACTCCTTTAGCGGTGTAACACAGAGCCATGAGGTATCCCGGGCCATACTAGACAGTAATTCCAGGACTGCACACTTGGTCCCAGATGATACGCATGGCTGAACTTGTAAACATAAACCAGTAGTTCTCAACCTATTTACCATTGTGGGCTGCATATGCAGTTCTCTATGTATTATGTGGGCCACATCCACACAGTATATATACTACCCGATTGGCTCTGAGGGTGGCATATGGGCCGCAGCTGTGTGCTAATTAGGCCGCAAGTGGCCCGTGGGTTGAGAATCACTGCCATAAACCAAGAAAAGTGCAATGATTGGTTTTCCACCCAGGGCTCCTTTCCATCGGGAGCGGAGTCTTGTCCAGCACCCTCATCAATTCACACTGTTGATGGGCGGGGCTAAGTGCATGCTGCAGCCTATCTGAACTGTTTTCTTTGGGCCTTGGCTGGTTAGTTAATATATCTCAGACCAAGGTCTGGACCCAGTAATGAAGTCAGGGTTTCTGTGCTGTAAATCCATCCATGAGGATTAGGGTGACCAAATTTTCCGATTTTATAGGGACAGTCCCGATATTCGGGGCTTTTTCTTATATGGGAACCTATTACCCCCCACACTCTGTCACGATTTTTCATACTTGCTATCTGGTCACCCTAATGGGGATGCTCCCATCCTGCCTGCATTCATCCCAGCACTGGGAGCCAGAGAGATGTGGTGACATGTAAATACAATTTGACTGATGTTTGTCATCATGCTATGTGCCGCCACAGGCTGTGAAGACATCTGCTTCCAGACCAAGGGAGGTATTAATGAGTGTAGTGGTAGCAAAACAGCTTGCGAGTGTGGGGATCTGCTGCTGAGGACTATTAGAAGCAGGTGTAACCTGCTGTGGAAGCGCAGGGGGATAAGATGGACTGAACTGCACTGTTGCAGTGATTTGTCTCCTTGTGTAGAGATAATCATGTTATATGGTTTGTAAGGCTAACATCAATGCTCAGAAGTAAGCAGCTCATTCAGAGAAGGGCTTGGATGCTACACACACAGTCTTTGCCAAGTTCTATTAAACTAGCTGCATGTGCTAGACAGAATAGTGAAACGTATTGGCAGCTCCATCCATCCAGACAATCACTACGCTCTCAAGTGAATTCACCCAGGAAAATGATAAAAGGCAAAACCACCCCATCACCTGCGGATGAACACTTTTTTCACAAAGCGATCACCCTATGTCTGACCTCTCAGTCCTTATCCTCAAAGAAAACTTGCACAAACACTTGCAAAAGACAGGCATGGGAGCTTAAATTAATAACTTTGCTAAAGAGTAAAAATTATGGACTGAACAGAGACACTGGATTTATGGCTTGTCACAACCATCTATAACCCGCTAAACCCACTTTTTGTCCTATTACAGCAGAGGTGTTAACGGGCCACTCTATCTTGAAGGGTCCCGTACAATACGAGCTAACTACTTATGCTAAACAATCTGTCCCACCCTGTATTTTGCTGTGATGCTGGGAGGACCTTTTCCAGACCTGAAAAAGAACTCTGTGTAAGCTCCAAAGCTTGTCTCACTCACCAACAGAAGTTAGTCCAATAAAAAAATATTGAGACCAGGAGGTGTCACCAGACCTGATGGTTTCAGAGAGGCCCAGTGATCCCTGTCATCCCAAGGCTGATGTGCTGGACAGAACCCTTCCAAGCTTTCAGGTGTCAGCTATTTTCAAAACACAGTTTGGTTCAGAAAAAAATATGCCAATTTGCCAATCCTCAAATGTAAAAAACCCCAACCAAGCCATGGGCACTTGATGAGCAAGAGCACTTTAGATTGCATTTTAGTGCCTTTTATATTTAATGTATAAATAATTAGACATAAGGAATAAAGCTTTATATTTAATTCATGTCATTAAAAACCTTATGTATTGTTAATAGGCTTAGTTATAGGCGACATCTCTTTGAAATATTATTCTTTTGTGCATTTTAATAGGGTGCATTGTAAACACACCACTGTAAGCTGACAGCAGCTAATACTTACTCTAGACAGCACATGCCTAATTAAAGTCACTTATTTTAAGTTTTTTTTAAGTCCGCTCACTCGAGATTTCCAAACGGCTTTTCCCTCTTGGCTGGGAGCACAAGGGAGATGCTGGGAAGGTGTGGGGAGGTGAAGGGCCCTGATTCTGGGCTGAGGAGCACTCAGTGCAGCTTGGAGAGGTCTCCTGAGCCTCAGTCACAGTGCACTGGGCCAAGACCTTTGCAGGACCTGGTTTAGACACTTCAGGACCCCCATGGCTCTGCTGCTCACTTGGTGTGGTGATGGCAGGGGATCACCTTTTCCTCCCAGAGAGGCAGCAACAGCAGCAGGGGACCCCTTTGCCCCCAGGAGTAGTGGCTGCCGCTGTGCCCTTCCCCTCAAGAGCAGCGGGATCCAGAGAGCACTAACACCCCAGCTGCTGGGCGCAGTACATCTGCTTGGGTGGGTGGACCAGGCTCACTGCACCTTCTAATCTTCTCTTGGTAGGAAACTCCAACCACACCCTCTTCCTCCCAGCTGCACTCGCTGTCCTGGCAGCCAAGGCAGGGAGGGGGAAGATCCCATGGACTGGGGGGATCTTTCTGGGGCTGGGTATAGGGAGGCAGTACGGCCTAGTGGATAGAGCACTGTACTGGGACTCGGGTGGCCTGGTTCTATTCCTGGCTACAACATTGGGCTATTGAAGTGACTCCCCCAAGGTCACGCACCTTTCTCTGCTTTAGTTTCCCCAGCTGTGGAATGGGGATGATGATACGAAGCTCCTTTGTAAAGCGCTTTGAGATCTGCTGGTGAGCAGCTCTTTGTAAGAGTTAGGGGTTATTAGTAAGCTGGCCCGAGTAGTGCAGAGCACAGTGGTTGCCTGCAGTGCAGGATGGTGCCGAAGCATGTTCTTCCATGGCCTGTGACCTTCTATGCTGCTTTGCCATTATTCTTTCTACCAATGTTTGGAGTCCTTCATGCACAGAACAAAGCAAAAGCAGCACAAACTGCTTTGCTGCAGGCACACTGGAAAGCCATGGGAACACAGTCTGCATTCTCCAGGGGCTATCTGGGTAGGGAGTTACTCAGTAGTCCTGCTGCATGCTTACTACAGTAGCTCTGCATTTGTCACTCTTCACCCGCAAACCCGGCATGTTAGTGCAGATACAGGAGAAGCTGTGTGTGCTGTGTGTAGCTGATATGTGTGTGTATATGTATGTTCTCTACAGGGCATTCTGTTTTCTACCCCGGAGTGTCTGAAAGCTCCCCAAGACTTGGTGAAGCTCTACCTGCATGAATCAAACCGGGTGTACCGGGATAAGATGATTGATGAGACAGATTTCAGCACATTTGATAAAATGCAGACGGAGATGGTAAAGAAGTTCTATGATGTAAGTATTGCAGTTGGTGTTTGTCAGATTAACATGCTCTGGGATATCCTCTCAGGGGCTAGCTGCACAGGAGGCAGAGGTGGATTTCGGGAAAAAAATAACCAGACCCGAAGTCTGCTCAAGACATCTTATGTGTTTGGAGATGACACTGTTGGCGAGAACACAAAGCAGGGTGTCCAGGCCTCTGTGGTCTCTCCTCAGCTCTGCCACTGGCTGGCTGTATGACTCCGGACTAGTCACTGCACCTTTCTCTGTGTCTCAGTTTCCCCAGGACTGTCTACATTTAAAACACAGCAGCTGGGCCACTGCAGCGCTTCAATGAAGACACTGCTTGTGCTGATGGGAGGGGTTCTCCACTTCCCCGAGAGGCGGTAGCTAAGTTGACAGGAGAATTCTCCTATCGACCTAGCACTGTCTACACCAGTGGTTAGGTCAGTTGAACTATGTCACTCAGGAGTGTGGATTATTCCTAGTGTAGACCAGGCCCCAGTCTGTCAAATGGGTAAAGTAGTGGATCCCTGACTCACAGGGGGCTGCGGGGCTCAATTAACTAATGTAAGTAAAGAGCTTCAGGAGTCTCCAATGATAGGTGCTAGACAAGGGTCAAGCTTGGGCTGAGTTCCCTGGTCTCCACAGGAGGAGGCTGGGGTCAAGACGCAGTATTGAGTCCGTGGCTCTCCTCCTTGGTCCAACAATATCTTTCCAAGGAAAGCTCTGTACCCTACCCCCTTTGGGCTGGTCTACACACAGTGACACCCCTTTAACTGTACCAGTAGCATTACAATGGTATGCTCCTCCTAGTGTGGATGCAGTTAAAGGTGCTTCTACTTGGATAAGTCCTTTTACATAGGCATAACTGTGTCCACACTAGGGCTTGTACTCATTTAATTATCCCAGTATAAAGTAACACCCTCAACTGCCATAGTTAAACCAGTACCAACGCTGCGTGTAGGCCAGGCCTTAGAGCTCAGAGGGATCCAGCCTCAGAGATCCCAGCGGTACTGAAGGTGAGGGGGCTTCTCTAGTGTTGTGGCCTCCCTGTGCACATGAGTGGGCCCCTCCCTCTTTTACTGCTCCCTCCCTCCCCTGAACTGAAAAAGAACCCTCAGACCCCCCTGCCCTTCATCCTGGGCACTGGTAGCTGACCCAATACACACACCCTGCAGCCATGCACTGTTCGGCCTCCAGCTTTCACCACACACCGGGCACTCCCTGTCCTGACAGCTTCATCCAATCTGCTTTCCCTGCAGTGCTTCCTGTCCCCAATGAGGCACCCAGTATTAAGAATAGTGGATCACATCAGAGCTTATCTCTCATAACTGTGCTATCTGCAGATGTTCTCCCCTTCCATATAACTGCCTAATCCTGGGGTGAATCTGATGGAGCGCTCGTTCTCAGCAATACTTTGTGGCAATCAGCTTTGTGGCTGAACTATGCATTGCATAAAAAAATTCTTTTTACCAGATTGAAATTTGTTGCCTTTCATTTTCAGCGACTGCCCCTGAAAGGGTTAATAGGAGCACCCGATGTACTCTGGTTAGGGACTTTGTCAGGACTTTCTGAAAGTCCAAATGCACTATCTCGGCCTTCTGTGAGCTGAGGGGTGAAAACATTATATCAACTGGATCAACGTTGTCCACATGCTTGTTGACCCCTCTAAGAATTCTGATAGACTGGTGTGGCATGATTTCCTTTACAAAAGCCGTGTTGACCCTTACCCACCCAATCATGTTCATCTGTGTGTCTGATAATTCTATTGTTTACTATAATTTCAGCCAATTTGCTTGGTATTGGAGTTAGACTTACCAGCCTGTAATTGCCAGGGTCTCCTCTGGAACCTTTTTTAAGAATTGGTGTCAATTAGGTATCCTGCAGTCATCTGATACAGAAGCTGATTTAAGTGATAGGTTGCATACCACAGTTTGTAGTTCTGCAATTTCATATTTGAGTTCCTTCAGAATTCTTGGGTGAATACCATCTAGTCCTGGGGACTTATTACTGTTTAATTTATCAATTTGTTCCAAAACCACCTCTATCAACACCTCAGTCTGGGACAATGCCTCAGATTTGTCACCCAGAAAGAACGTCTCAGATGTGGGAATCTCCCTCACATCCTTTGCAATGAAGACTGATGCAAAGAATTCATTTAGCTTCTTCAGAAAGGCCTTATGTTTCTTGAGTGCTCCATTAGCACCTCGGTTGTCCAGTGGCCCCACTGATTGTTTGGCAGGCTTCCCTACTCATCTTCTCTCTAAACCAGTGGTTTCCAAACTTTATTGGTTCATATACCATGTTCTTAAAAAGATGATGTTGTAAGTACCATGTGCAAATTTCTCCTTTTTGTGCACATTTTAGTCTTTAATAGGCTTAACTGTATTTTGACATGTACTTTTGTTTGCTAAACAGTCCCAATCTTTTCATTCCCTCTTCCTAGGGAAGTTTAGCCAGGCCTGTAATCATTCTCTGACCCCCCCCCCCCATTTTCGCTATATCCTTTTCAATAGAGTGACCAGAATTAAATACAGTTCTACAGGAGAGGGTGAACCATGGATTTATATAATGGCATTATAATATATCAGTGTTATATTTTATTCCTTTCCTGTAGTGCCCTCACACTTCATTTGCTTTATGGCCATCACTGCCCATAGAAGAGAGGTTTTCATGGAGCTGTCCACAGCAATGTCCAGCTCTGGTTCCTGCCTGGGGAGAGTTAATTTAGAGCCCAGTGAGGGGTGTGGATACTTCACATTATTCCTTCCAATGTGCATAACGTTGCATTTATCACAACTGAATTTCATCTTCACTAGTGCTACCCAACTGTCAGGGTCAGTGGTGTTCGAAGTTCCTCAATGCTTTCTCCTGTCTAGCTTAGCCTAAATAATCTGGTGTCTTCTGTAAGTTTTGCCACCTCACTGCTTGCCCCTTTTCTTGATCATTGCTAACTTGTTTCAGCATCGGCTCTTTTTTATAGCTCCACCTGTGACAGGGCCTCATTTCTAATCCCTGAAAAGGATAGGCGCCTCCTTGAGCCCCCTCTCCTGACCACTGATGCCAGAGAAATAGTGTAGATTCCAAGGGCAGAAGGGGCCATTGTGATCATTTAGTCTGACCTCCTGCATAACATGGGCTATAGAACTTCCCCACAATAATTCCTAGAGCAGCACTTTCAGAAAGACATCCACTCTTGATTAAAAATTTGTCAGTGATATAGACTCTGCCACAACCTTCGGTATAGCTTCCTTGCAGTGCCCTTATTCTCCTTAAGTGCTTCCTCTGCCCTCTTGTGGTGCAGCAGAGCCACCAGTTATCTCACAATACCGTGTGCTGTCCTGGTCATCCCATCTCAAAAAGGACATCGTAGAACTGAAGGGGTTCAGTGAAGAGCAACGAGAAAGGCCTGGAAAAACCCTCATATGAAGATAGATTGAAAAGATTGGGATTGTCACATTGCTAAGGAGAGAAATAAGAGGGGACATGTTAAAAGTCTATCAAATAATGGATGGTCTAGAGAGAGGAGATGAGGAACTTTTGTTCTCTCTATCTCACAGCCCAAGAACATGGGGAAAGTCAATTAAATGAACAAAGTGGGAAGTTCAAACTGGTAAAAGGAAATCCTTTTTCACACAATGTGTAAGTAGACTGTAGAACTCACTTGCAGAAAGTCATTGAGCCGAATAATTTAGCAAGATTCAAAAAGAGATTGGACGTTGAGATGGATCACAAGAATATCCAGGGTGATCATAATTAATAAATAATAATTAATAAAAAAATTTGAAGGAAGATTAACCCTTCATCCTAAGGGCTTCAGACCTATGTGCATGGCAGATTACCCCACACCTGCCTACTGCGGGGTTCTTACACCTTCCTCTGACACATCTGGCACCGACCACCAGGGGTGCTGGAACAATTTATATAGTGGGGGTGCTGAGAGCTAGTGACCCAAACTGTAAACCCTGTACATGATAGGAACCACTTTAAGCCAGGGGGCACGGCAGCATCCCTAGTTCCAGCATCTATGCTGGCCACTGTCTGATCCAGTCTGGCAATTGCGGTGTTCCTCATTGTTTTTATGACAATGGCTATTTACTTTTCAAATTCCTTCTTAACCATCCTAATTTCAATTTTACATTTTTACTCACCGTAAATGAGGTTCCTTTTTATTCATTTCACTTGGGCTGACTTTTGACTTTTTTGGAAGATACTTGTTTGGCTTCAGTAATCTCCTGTACCTTGTCACTCAACCTTCCTGCTTCCCTTTTGAGTTCAGGGGCATAGATATATCTTCCATGACGCTGCTATGGTATGCTTGAGCAGCCACCATGCTGAATCCAAAGGATTTTAATTTCCTCATTTTTTATGTTAAGTTTTTGGGACCTTTTACAGAAAACCCTCCCTTTTTAAAGTGTAATGTCCCAGTGCTAGCTTTCATTATGATCCTTGCCATTAGGTAGCTGAACTTCCTGAAATTATATTGTGGCTCCTGTAAGTGCCTCTGAGCTTGTAATGGAACACCCCAAAGTCAGGAAACAAAAAAGTGAAGGTTTGCTGACTCCCTTTTACTCTGCACCACTACATAGATGCTTTGAAATGCTGGTTTGGAATCTGTGAGCTGTGATTATGCTTAGATATAAATTTAAAGCTCAGGTGTAGAAAACCATTGTATCATCTGAGAAATACTATGTGTTCATTATGCCAGAGATTTGGGGCAACACTTTCAAAAGTGCATAAGTGCCCTTGTTGCCAAGAAGGCTAACGGCATTTTGGGCTGTATAAGTAGGAGCATTGCGAGCAGATTGAGGGATGTGATCATTCCCGTCTATTCGGCATTGGTGAGGCCTCATCTGGTGTAATGTGTCCAGTTTTGGGCCCCGCACTACAAGAAGGATGTGGAAAAATTGGATAGTCCAGCGGAGGGCAACAAAAATTATTAGGCGGCTGGAGCACGTGACTTATGAGGAGAGGCTGAGGGAACTGGGGTTATTTAGTCTGCAGAAGAGAAGAATGAGGGGGGATTTAATAGTTGCTTTCAACTACCTGAAAGGGGGTTCCAAAGAGGATGGATCTAGACTGTTCTCAGTGGTACCAGATGACAGAACAAGGAGTAATGGTTTCAGGTTGCAGTGGGGGAGGTTTACGTTGGATATTAGGAAAAACTTTTTCACAAGGAGGGTGGTGAAGCACTGGAATGGAGTACATAGGGAGATGGTATAATCTCCTTCCTTAGAGGTTTTTAAGGTCAGGCTTGACAAAGCCCTGGCTGGGTTGATTTAGTTGCGTATTGGTCTTGCTTTGAGCAGGGAGTTGGACTAGATGACCTCCTGAGGTTCCTTCCAACCCTGATACTCTATGATTCTATAAGTGAGTTAGGAGTCCAAGTCCCTTTGTCTTTTAAATCAGTGGGAGGTAGGTGCCTAGGCACTTTGGACAATCCCAGTAGCTGCCTAACTGCATCATTTATGTATGTTTAAAAATCTGGCCCCAAGGTCCAGATCCAGACAAGGATTTAGGCACATTAGCCCAAGATTTAGACATCACTGAGATCCTCAGAATCTCCACTCAGCTGCTGCTTACCTCTATTGGTGTCTAAATTTCCTAGGCACCTACATTTTCACCATTGAAGTCCCCATGGTGTCTGAGTTTCTGCCAATGAGCATGTGCACAGCTACCTCGGTCTAGGCACCAGGCTCCTGTCTTACATCTAAATCAAGTGGGATCCTCAAACTAGGCTTGCCCCATCTCACCTGGTGAAGAATTGCATTGGTCTGTTCTCCTGAAAAGAGCTTTCCCTTTGTTGCAATAGGAACAGGACATTCTGTATTTCCCTTTTGCATTTCATTGGCAGGAAATCGAGGAGACTCTAGAGGAGACCAAGAAGATGAACATGTACTGCCATTTTGCTAGAGGCGTTGGGGAACCCAAATACATGCCTGTTCAGACCTGGGAGTCACTGAATCACATCCTTGTGGAAGCCTTGGATAACCACAATGAGGTCAATGCTGCCATGAATCTGGTGCTCTTTGAAGATGCCATGTGCCATGTGTAAGGGGATTTTCTGTCTTTGTACTCTCACAGAGTCATCAGCCTAAATGTCTTTGGAGCTGGTCTGTGTAATGCATTTCTGTTAACATTTTCAGAGGGGATGAGCAGCCATAATCACAGATGATGTCAGGAGGAGCTGTAGGAGTGCAGCACTTCTGAAGAGTCAGACCCTGGGTATCTCAAATTGGACATGCAAAATAGGGGCTCTTCCAATCAGCAGCCATTAATCTCTCCTCAGCTTCTCATCTGTCCACTGGGGATTTCCTATCTCCCTGGGATATTGGAAGCCTTTTCTCATTGATGTTTAGCAAGTACTTTGAAACCTTCAGGCAGAGGGCACTGTAGTAGTACAAAGATGAATTACACAGAGGTTTCAGTTTTCAAATGGGGCTGCCTAAGTAGGGTACACAATTTTGCTTGCCAGCCCTCAGTACATAGGTGCCCTAATATGTGTTTTAAATACAAGTTTGATTGTGTCATTGTGCAAGAAAAACTTGGCAAATTGGTATGTGGTAACATGTTTGAAAGCCTGTAGGTCACATAGGAGCCTATGTCACACTTTCAAGTGACTTTCAAAGGTGTTAGGTGCCTAAAGCTGCAGAGTGGCGCCTGGGCAGATGGTTAAAAGTTTCTAAGCAGATATGGTGCCTACCTCCCTTGATTTCAATGAAACTTAATCACCTAAAATGCTTAAGCCCTTTTGACTATCCCACTAGGCACATGTCTGCACCTGGTGGCACTGAATACCTTTGAGAATGTGGCCCTTAGCAGCTAAGTCTCACTGCAAGTCAATGGAATTTAGGCTCCTGTGGTCAGATTTTTAAAGATTTTCAGGCACCTAAGAATGCAGATAGGTGCCTAGTGAGATTGCCAAAAGCACCTAAGTGAATTAGGTTCATCTAAGTGAAATCAATGGGAGTTGGGAGCCTAGGTTCTTTTGAAAATGTTACCTGGTGACTATATATACTGTACATATGAATCTCTGAACTAACAGAGCCCTAGAGCCCCATTAGCTACACTGAAGCAGTACTTTTTCATTAGGAAAGGGTGGTCTCACAGTTCCTTAAGTACCAGGAAACCAATCCAATTACTATCATAGAAAAGAACAACAGATACAATCCTTTGATCTACCCAGTTACTCCTTTGAGTCCTAGGAGCTCACCATCCTTTCATTTCCTGCAGCATAGTGCCTTGATATTTAATAAAACCATAATAATGCTTCATGCTATGATGCTTTTATTCCATTCAGTTATTAAGTAGCAGTTTATCTTCAGCAAAGGCTTGCTTGGATCATCAAACTGTACTTGATTTTGTATTCTATGCATAAGGCAGACACACACAAGCACTCTGAGTATTAGAATTTTTTCAGATTGTGATGTAAATGTTGTCTCTGTCATTTTCTCTTGTGTGCTCCCTGTGCACCAGAGAGGACTTGCTGGACCAAATCTGATTGCAGCCTCCCCCTAAATATTGTAAAAGATTGAGAGAAAAAGCTCTGAATTTTAAAGTTTGTTTTCACATTCCTCCTTGCTCCCCTCCTCCTTTATACCCGCAGACGGTCTGTCAGACAGTTCCACAAATATGAGCTGTTAGTCCTGACCCAAGATTTGATTCCTAAACTTCAGGAGTTAAATACAGTTAGTGGCTAAATCACCAAGTTGTTCAAGAGTTCAAATCCATCTGTGCTAATCACTAAATATTTCTGTGGCCTTACCCGCACACCTATACTTTCATAATTACTGTTTTTTATCAGAGTTTTGCTTATTGCTCTGAAAGCAATGAAGAACCTGATGAGAAATGAAATTAAACAAGTAGGCTAGCTGAGGCCAGTGAGGGCGTCTCATGGCATCCCGACCTTATTTAAAATGCAAATGAATTATTCTCATATTCAAGATGTGTCTGGGAGAGAGAACTGATGGAATATGAACTACAAGTAGTTAAAGTTTCTTTGGAGAGAAACAAAAATGGCTGGTGCTTTCATTGTGTTCTTAGCTACTTGAATGAAAAGTGGGATAACAGCACGTCTAAATCTTCAAAAGAAAGGTCCCAACTGATTGCAAACAGTTAGAAATCAGTATTTTATCCTGTTGGCTTTGTTGTATGGAAATTAAGGCCCAGACATATATGTAGGCAGACAATGGAACTGTTTCCAGAGAATCTCTCTATTGTTTCTCACTGTGCATGCCAGGTGGGATAGGCATGCCTCTGGACCCTTGCTATCAGTTAGCTTCTGGGACATGCCCCAAAGCAGCTTGTGTCGTTTCGCTTTCAGTGAAATAGTGACATCACAGGCCCCATGGCCATGTTAATCACTGCACTGGGATCTAAACTCTGGCTAGTGAGTGAGATTTTCCCCTCCCCTACTGGGAGTGATTTACTTCTACAATATTTCCTGTTGAATGTTCTCAGAAATGTGTCATCTTCACACGATTAGTTCACTCTTCTTTGTTAGCACACTTTTTTCTGAAGGATATAGTCTAGTGGAAACAGGAATTAACTCAAGGACGACCTCTGGCCTTTGTTACATTGGTGCTCAGATCACAGTGATCTGCCCTTATAATCAATGAATCTTTATTTAGTGCCCCATCCTTGTGCATGTCATTGGTGAGACTACTCTATGTGTCAGTGTGAGCAAGGGTGACAGAATCTGCCCTTAAAGAATTAGTCGTTTTGATAAGGAATAAATATTGACAGAGCTTTCCTAGAAGGGATTTACACTGATCTAGATATATGAAGATATTAATAATACATAATGGGACTCCTCATGTGACTAATAGCTCACCAATGTCATCAAGCCCATGGTTAATGTGGATCCTTGGACATTTTCTGAGAGGAAATATCTACTAGAGGGACTAATTAGAGCACATTTACACAGCAATTTAGTCTGGTTTGACCCATGTTCCATGTAAATGGGGACTGATCTTTACTGTAAGATGTTCCTGAACATCATAACACAGCATACGAATCCAGAAATAACCGAGATGGGAAGCTCTGAATTGCCATAGAACCATTAACTGGTTGGTTGTGTTGTTTACTACAGATCTCACCCGAAGAGTATCAACTGCAAACGTGCCCCTTAGATTGGCAGTGTTGCTGTGATTCTGCTCCTATTCTCAATCTAATTTGTTACTCAGTAAAATATGTATTGAAATGCTCCATATGGAAAAAAGTCTTCGTGACCAGAGATTCTGTTTGCTTCAATTTAGTTGCCGCATCAATCGTATCTTAGAATCCCCCAGAGGAAATGCCCTATTGGTTGGGGTAGGTGGAAGCGGCAAGCAGAGCCTGACAAGACTTGCAGCTTTCATTAGCTCACTGGAGGTTTTCCAGATCACGCTGAGGAAAGGCTATGGAATCCCTGACCTGAAGGTAGGTGGTGTTGAATGGTGGGAAGGGAGAGGAAACAGAAACTTGTACTTCTTCCACACAGAGCTTTGTCTTTTCTATGTGTTGGAGAAACCTCCAGTGTAAATGAAAAGAGATTCCACTTGGATCGCAAAGAATGGTCATTCTCTCCAAAAATCATCAGTTAATGTTTGCTCACGGCTTTGTACCTGGAAAGGGCTATAGAGAGTCGATGATAATGATTAATATAATAAATTATTACTATTTTTAAGACAATAAAAAGAATACTTAATGAACCCAGGAGTAACCTACTATGGAATAAGCAACAGAGGGTCCTGTGGCACCTTTAAGACTAACAGAATCTTCATGAGGTTGATAGATTTCCATTCCATACGGCTAAATGCAGTGCCTTGCATGGTGTCAAGTATCAGAGGTGTGCCACAGGACCCTCTGTTGCTTTTTACAGATTCAGACTAACACGGCTACCCCTCTGATACTACTATGGAATGATGTAGCTAGAGGTGGGAGAGATTTATTAAGTCATATCCAGTCCATCTCCCACTTCCTGGAGGCTATAAGAGTTGTAAACAGCACATGGATCTTGACAATACATTTTCTGGTAAACAGTGAATTGGAAGCTGTGAGACAGTTTTGTTTGATGCAAATGGAAGGATTTATAAATGTTTTAGTTGCTGGTAAATGATGTAGAACTTGGTTTTGCAATGTCTCCTTGCTTTCCCACCAAGGCAAACTGGAGCTACGTTGTCCAAGTCCTGTCCTTCATCATCAGACTGGGGCTCATGCTGGAATGAACAGCTTCCACTGAGAGGCCAGTTATAGCTCTGGCGATAGCAAATCATCAGCAAATCTCTACCAAGTTTTGAAAGCTCATATTTAAATGCATTTGCTTTCTTATTTAGGGTAATTTACTTTAGTGGAATGCAAGATTTGACTTTTAGACAACGTTTATTTAATAATCAAATGTATTATGAGGAATCACTGGAGTTTTTATTTAATGTTACATCATCTTCTCCCTTCAGATAACTTTGCAGCACTGATCAGTTTGTTTGTCTTGCTTTTTGACATGTCTGTGTAATCATCCTGAGCCTATCTATTTTCACCCATTCAGTTCCACCCGTGAAAAGGTTCCTGGGATAATTTGGTGCTGATCTCCAGTATTTATGAAATACTGTTTGATTATTTTTTCTTGGGTCTAGAACAGCAAGATGGCTCAGTCTGCCATTGGCCCTTAACATTGTTATAATTCACTTATTCTAGGTATTCTATAGCAAATGTAACAACTGACTGTGTTTGGTGGAACCATATTTGCCTACTGAAGTTCTAAATGCATTTCAAAAGCAATGTACTATCCTGAGCACCCTTCTATTCCTACTGTATTCTGTTCACATGAACTAATGGGAAAGGCCAGCTGAGGTGGTAGGAAAAAAAACTCAGAATCACAGTGACAGCTTTTGCTATTACTGTCACTGTGATTCTGAGTTTTTTTTTCCTACCACCTCAGCTGGTTATTTATAATAATAGTGTTATTTTACGTTCATAATTGTGAGGCAGACACTCTGAAAAGGGGAGGAAGGATAGTCCAGTGGCTGGGGCACTAGCCTAGGGCTAGGACACCTGGGTTCAAGTCCCTGCCCTACCACAACCTCCCTGTGAGAGCTTGTGTAAGTCAGATAGTCTCTCTGTGCTGCAGTTCGCCCTCTGTACAACAGGGATAATAGCCATGCCCTGCATTGTGGGGTTTGGGAGGATACATACATTGAAGATTGTGTGGTCCTCAGGTACCATGGTAATGGGGGAAACCCTGTACCTTAGGCTGTGTCTACAGTACAAGCTAGGGGTGTGATACCCCAATTTGTGTACACACATGTGCGCTAGCTCTGATTGAGCTAGTGCAAGTATAAATAGCAATGTAGCACGGGTAGCAGCAGAGGCATGGCTGAGCCATGCTGAGTATATCCCCACTGCTTTTGTACCCATCACGGCACTGCTGCTGCTCCCCGTCCTACTGTGGCTGCACTGATATTTGTATTCACACGAGCCTGATGAGAGCTAGCATGAATACATGTACATGAATAGGAGATCACAGGATGACCATAAGCTGTCAATGTGATGCTGCTGTGGAAAAGGCTAATGCAGTCCTAGGATGCATTAGACAAGGTATTTCCAGCAGAGACAGGGAAGTGTTAGTACCATTACACCAGGCATTGGTGAGACCTCATCTGGAATACTGTGTGCAGTGCTGGTCTCCCATGTTTAAGAAAGATGAATTCAAACTGGAACAGGTGCAGAGAAGTGCTAATAGGTTTTCCATTCCTCTGATCACCCTATCTTATAAGAGAAGACACAAAGAGCGTGACTTGTTTACATAAGAACATAAGAATGGCCATACTGGGTCAGACCAAAGGTCCATCAAGCCCAGTATCCTGTCCTCTGACAGTGGCCAATGCCAGGTGCCCCAAAGGGAATGAACAGACAGATTATTGTCAAGTGATCCAGGCCCTGTCACCCAATCCCAGCTTCTGGCAAACAGAGGCTAGGGACACCATTTCTGCCCATCCTTGCTAATAGCCATTGATGGACCTATCTTCCATGAATCTATCTAGCTCCCTTTTGAACCCCATTATAGTATTGACCTTCACAACACCCTCTGGCAAGGAGTTCCAGAGGTTGACAGTGCATTGTGTGAAAAAATACTTTTTTGTCATTGTTTTAAACCTGCTACCTATTAATTTCATTTGGTGGCCCCTTGTTCTTGTATTATGAGGAGGAGTAAATAACACTTCCTTATTTACTTTCTCTATACCACTCATGATTTTATAGACCTCTATCATATCCCCTCTTAGTCGCCTCTTTTCCAAGCTGAAAAGTCACAGTCTTATTAATCTCTCCTCATATGGAAGTCGTTCTATACCCCTAATCATTTTTGTTGCCCTTTTATGAACCTTTTCCAATTCCAAGATATCTTTTTTGAGATGGGGTGATCACATCTGCATGCAGTATTCAAGGTGTGGGTGTACCATGGATTTATATAGAGGCAATATGATATTTTCTGTCTTATTATATATCCCTTTCTTGATGATTCCCAACATTCTGGTAGCTTTTTTGACTGCCGCTGCACATTGAGTGGATGATTTCAGAGAACTATCCACAATGACTCCAAGATCTCTCTCTTGAGTGGTAACAGCTAATTTAGACCTCATCATTGTATATGTATAGTTAGGATTATGTTTTCCAATGTGCATTACTTTGCATTTATCAACATTAAATTTCACCTGCCATTTTGTTGCCCAGTCACCCAGTTTTGTGAGATCCTTTTGTAGATCTTCGCAGTCTGCCTGGGACTTAACTATCTTGAGTAGTTTTGTATCATCTGCAAATTTTGCACCTCACTGTTTACCCCTTTTTCATATCATTTATGAATATGTTGAATAGGACTGGTCCCAGTACAGACCCCTGAGGGATATCACTGTTTAACTCTCTCCATTCTGAAAACGGACCATTTATTCCTACCCTTTGTTTCCTATCTTTTAACCAGTTACCAATCCATGAGAGAACCTTCCCTTTTATGCCATGACTGCTTATTTTGCTTAAGAGCCTTTGGTGAGGGAACTTGTCAAAGGCTTTCTGAAAATCTAAATACACTATATCCACTGAGTCTCCTTTGTCCGCATGCTTGTTGACCACCTCAAAGAATTCTGGTAGACTGGTGAGGTATGATTTCCCTTTACAAAAAACATGTTGACTATTTCCCAACAAATTATGTTCATCTATGTGTCTGACAATTTTGTTCTTTACGATACTTTCAACCAATTTGCCCGCTACTGAAGTGTGGCTTAGCCTAACCAAAAGAAGGCTGAGGGGAGATATGATTGCTCTCTATAAAAACATCAGAGGGATAAATACCAGGGAGGGAGAGGAGTTATTTAAGTTAAGTATCATTGTTGACAGAAGAACAAATGGATATAAACTGGCCATCAACAAGTATAGGCTTGAAATTGGGTGACGGTTTCTAACCATCAGAGGAGTGAAGTTCTGGAACTGCTTATCAAGGGGAGCAGTGAGGACAAAAAAACCTAACTGGCTTCAAGACTGAGCTTGCTAAGTTTATGGAGGGGTATGATGAGACTGTCTGCAATAGCATGTGGCCCATTGGCGACTGCCAGTAGCAAAAATCTCCAATGGCTGGAGAAAGGACATTAGATAGGGAGGGCTCTGAGTTACTACAGAGAATTCTTTCCCAGGTGTCTGCCTGGTGGGTCTTGTCCATATGCTCAGGGTCTAACTGATCGTCACATTTTGGATCGGGAAGGAATTTTCCCCTGGGTCAGATTGGCAGAGACCCTGGGGTTTTTTCTCCTGCCTCTGCAGCGTGCGGCCTGGGTCACTTGCAGGTTTAAACTAGAGTAAATGGTGGATTCTCTGTAACTTGAAGTCTTTAAACTGTGATTTGAGGATTTCAGTAACTCAGCCATAAGTTAGGGATCTGTTATAGGAGCGGGTAGATGAAGTTCTGTGGCCTGCAATCTGCAGGAGGTCAGACTAGATGATCATGATGATCCCTTCTGGCCTTAAAGTCTATGAGTCTGATAAAGGGCTCATGTGACTTCGCGATAGTAATTGAGCCCTTCTCACGAATGTGATCAGAAATGCTTGGCAGAATCTATTTGCACTTGTGTGCTTTCTGAAGGAAAGGGATGAAGGAAGGAAAACAGCACAGTTAACTAGTCCTATCAAAAATATTCCCAGTATGCCCTCCACAGGGGAGAAGAAATGATGCAGTGGAAAAGAAATTTTTTCACAACATTCTTATGGTCTCGCTACTCTGTGGGCAGAATATAAGTCCTTAACTGAGGCTCCTTCACTCAGCTGCACAGTGTGTTGTGAACACGCCGTGCTGAATTACTGAAATAAAAAGGGAGAAGTAGAGAACAGGGACAGAAAGAACAGCATATCCAGCCACTAAAATCATCTCACATATATGATTCAATGTATTCCATAATTGTGCAACACAACACTTTAAATATTGTGGCAGCAGCCACCAGCAGCAGATCACTGTCTAGAAAGGTCTCTGCAATCTGGCACGATCTACACTTCAAACTAATCAGGGATTCTACCATCCACGTTTAACAGAAATAGCAACAGTGCTCCATCTTCAGCAATAATCCGTGATTTTTAAATGCCCTGTCTCCAATCAGAAAGTTTTAAAAAGATCATTTCCTGACTAAAATGATTAGAAAATGATGTTGTATTTTGTGTCTCAGTTTTCTCAGGGTCTGTCTTTTTATTTGTCTTTTGTACAGCATAGAACAAGTTGTCAATGCTTAGCAAGTAATAATAATAATAATAAATTAATACTAGCAGTATCCTTGGAAATGTTCTGCCATAAAGTGGAGAAGATATAAAGAACAAGCTTCATGCTAATTAATTCTGATTGTTTTGTTTTCAGTTAATCAGAAGATTTTGAATAGGCAACATCCTGCCTGAAATGTCCCCAATGAAAACACACTTTGTGACCGAGACTTTGCAGTAGATGAACACAAACTCCTTACTTACTTTCCTTTCAATCTACAGGCAGACTTGGCAAACCAGTATATTAAAACTGGAGTGAAGAATGTTGGCACTGTATTCCTTATGACTGATGCCCAGGTGGCTGATGAAAGGTTCTTAGTGCTGGTAAATGACTTGTTAGCTTCAGGTATGCATCTCATTGACTTTATTTCCGTTCTCCTTTCCCATATAAATGTGCACATAGTGATGTCTGCAGCTGTTCCATAGAAGAGATTGTAACATTTGCTTAAAATGATAACTAAACAAAGTAAGCTACACAATTTGTAAATTAAACCCCAAGGAAGAAAGCAGTGCTCAGATCTTCTTAGCAGAGACGAACTCCACCAGCTAGTAGATTTTGGCCTTCTCAGATGTCTATGACCCAGTCAGTTAGTTTGCACCCTACTTTCATAGCTCTTTAATTCTACTTATAATTGCTAAGTCACTTCTGTGTGGGGCAATATGCTAGTGGAGTGTGGAGTCAGAGGAAGTGTTTCATTGAAGGATGTGCAGTGTCCATCCCTATGAGAGGCAGTTTAGTGGTATGACATAACTCCCACTAGTCCTGGTTACAGAATTTGACTTCACTGTTTGCCAGAGCTGGGTGACTAATGCAAAGCCATTGAAAGACCACGTGTTTGAATGTCAGATAGCTGTTCAGTCCAGTCACGTTCCTTTCTTGTTAATTTTTCTAGACACATTTGTGTGGCTGGGGTTTTTTGTGCTTGGAGAATAGCTGTTCTTCCCATGAATACCCTGATTTCTGTGCAGACCATGACATTTGCATGTGAATTCAGCATTTGCATTTCACCTCACTCCTGGTTAGCTTAGCAGAGCACAGAAGCAATACAAGGACTCAGATGACCAATAATACACCACAAACAGTGAATAATCAAGAGTTGACATAGAATATTAGTATTGCATTCATAGCTGAAGCAAAGTTTGTGAACAGCCCACTGGCTGAAGTATGTTCATACCACTTTCAAACAATCTGAACAGCAAATGAATTTGCAGATGCCAGAGATTGTTTGTGGATAATTCCTAACCAGGAAGAGGGGTTTAATTTGCTGGGTAAATTGTGTGTTGTGTGTAGTTCCCCCAGCAACCCCATGTGCTGCCCTCCTGCGGGGACAACATGAGCATCCCCCAGCCCTAATTACAGCACTGTACGTGCCTGTCAGCATGGAGGAGGCCCACACAGCCTCTCTTACAGTTTTCTGTTTCCCTTCCAGTCACCAGAGGGCTGCCCGTTTGCTTCAGTGGGTCTGCTCTTAGATGAAGACATGATCTTTCTGACAGCAAGTCAGTGCTAGCTGATCAGTGAGGACTTTGATGGGGTGGTATAATGGGTTTATGAGGTCCTTTGGCTCCTTACATGGAATTATTTTTATTTGCTTAGAAGGACCCATGAGATCAGACCTCCCTCTCCATCAGACCAAGGCAGGGCAGAGTGGGCTCCTTCCACCATTCACCATCTGTCTAGGGTGGCAATCTGGATTGTATCCCCCTTCTCCTTTTTCCCCTTTGCTTGCCCATGTCTGTTTCACCCTTCCTTGCTTAAAACGGGGGAGGATAAGTGAGGAGGGGCGGATGTTGTGGCCACCCACTGGAAGTACATAGAAGGAAGAGGAAGGCCTGGTGCTTTCCTGCTTATTCTCTGCCTTAGTCAAAGTGGAGCTTTCTTTGTTTTCCCTTAGAGTGTGTGTGTGTGTGTTTGTCTGTCTGTCTGTCTGTCTTTATACATGTATGAGAAAGCTGCTTGCGATCCTGGAGATAGTTACGACCAAGGAGGGCCAGGCTACCTAAGGGCATGGGGGCGTCATTCCCAGCTCAGATAGACATACCCACACTAACTTTGATCAAGCTAACGTGCTAAAAATAGCAGTGTAGCTGCAGAGGCATGAGCGGAGGGAGGGGCTAGCCGCCCCAAATACAGTCCCGGCTGGGACCCTAGGTAGCTGCTCAGGTGGCTGGCCCATTCTGGCACATGCACTACAGCAGCAGCTACACTTCTATTTCTAGCACACTAGTTCAATGAGAGCTAGTGCAGATATGCATCCAGCTCGAAGTGTATACAGGCAGTCCTCGACTTTGCGACGTTCGACTTATGACGAACGGCACTTACAATGTTTCTGAATTGACACCCTGATTCGACTTACAATTGGTTTCGACTTTACGACGATCGGTCCCCTGACAGTGGATTGCGGTTCCGAGTTATGACGTTTCGACTTAAGAAACAATTTTCAGGAACCGATTGTGTCGTTCGTCCGAAGACTACCTATACTTAACCTTTTCTCCCCTCTGGTCCGTGGTTATGTGTCACTGGCTTAGAAGGCCTGCTGGCTCCAGTGACTGGAGAAGGGATAGATCCTGTTTCTGTGGCATTAGGATGATATTATGTTTGCTTTTGAAGGCCTGTATTTCCCCAGAGTTACCTCATGTGGAAATGGGGATGCAGGGGTTATCCCCTATTCTAGGTACAAGGAAATACCTTGGTATCTCAGACCCCATGAGGCTAGGGCTGCCAACTTTATAATTGCACAAAACCAAACACCCCTGCTCCACCCCTGCCCTGCCCTTCCCCGAGGCCCTGCTCCTGTCCCACCCCTTCTCTGAGGCCCTGCCCTCTCTCAGTCCAGCCCCCCTCCCTCCATCGCTCGCTCTCCCCCACCCTCACTCACTTTCACTGGGCTGGGGCAGGGCATTGGGGTGTGGGAGGGGGTGAGGGCTACAGCTGGGGGTGCAGGCTCCAGGGTGAGGCCAGAAATTAGGTGTTCAGGGTGCGGGAGCAGGCTCCAGGCTGGGCCAGGGGTTTGGGGTGCAGGAGGGGGTGAGAGCTCCAGCTGGGGTTACGGCCTCTGGGCTGGGGCAGGGGCTGAGGGGTTTGGGATGCAGAAGGGGGCTCTGGGCTGGGACCAAGGGGTTTTGCGCGTGGGAGTGGGCTCTGTCTGGTGTGGGCTCTGGGGTGGGGCTGGAGATGAGGGGTTTGGGGTGCAGGAGGGGGCTCAGGGCGGGGCAGGGGGTTGAAGTGCGGGAGGGGGTACGGGCTCCAGGAGGGAGTTTGGGTGCAGGAGGGGGCTCAGGGCTGGGGTAGGGGGGTTGGGTGTGGGGTGCGGGCCCTGGGAGGGAGTTAGGATGCGGGAGGGGGTTCTGACCTGGGGCAGAGGGTTGGGGTGGGTGTGCGGGCTTCGGCCAAGCGGTGCTTACCTCAGGCAGCTACCGGTCAGAGGTGCAGCAGGGCTAAGTCAGGCTTCCTGCCTACCCTGGCTCTGTGCTGCTTCAGAAGTGACTGGCATGTCCGGTTCCTAGGTGCAGGCACAGCCAGGCAGCTCTGTGTGGTGCGCGCTGCACCTGCCCACAGGCGCTGCACCTGCCCACAGGCACTGCCACCACAGCTCCTATTGGCCATGGTTCCTAGCCAGTGGGCGCTGCGGAGCCGGCGCTCAGGGCTGGGGCAGTGCGGGGCACTTCCCTGATCACACCTGTGCCTAGGGGCCGCAGGGACATGCCGGCTGGTTCCAGGAGCTGTGCGGAGCCAGGGCAGGCAGGGAGCCTGCCTTAGCCCCAATGTGCCGCTGACCGGACGTTTTAAGGGTCCCTTTTCGACCTGGTGTTCTGGTCGAAATCCGGACACCTGGCAACCTTAAATGAGGCCATAACTGTAGATAACTTGTGACTTTTCAAGGCAATGTCTGTAGCAGCTCAGTGGGAAAGGATGTTTTCTGATTGGTTGACTTGGCTGCTTGCTTCTAATTGGTTGCATGTTTTATGTATGTTTGTTTGTTTTATTTGTTGTATTTATCATCATAACTTAATAAAGAGGAGTAACATTTTGCTGGTTTCTGATCACCTGCTGTTTTCCCTCTCAATTGTTAATACCAAATAAAGCTCAGATTTTCAGCAATCTGATAAGATAATGATCTTTTCAGTCCAGACGGGGGTCAGAAGGAGATAAATTAGGAAGTAGTAAAGTAAGGAATCACTACAATTCTGTTTGCATGCATACAGTGTTGGCAATTAACTGAATGTACCATTAGCTTTTTAACCATAGTGATCTGTCATTTATTTGAATACAGCTGCAGATGGCATTTTTGAAGAGCTGCAGAACTTGCCTATGTAACAAATTACTTTGCAAAACTGAAATGATTCACTGTTGTGTAAGGCCTTATTGGGGATTAGATTTACTGAAATCTAAATAGTAGAGTAAATCAGAAAGCCAATCAGTTGCTATATTCTGATTCTGAGATTAGAAAGTACTTTCAACTTCTGCTTGTTTTAAGGTTGTGGGAAAGTTGGTTTAATTAATTGCCAGTAAATCAGCTGTTCGTGGGCAGATGTGGCCTGCTCCTATATCATCTCCAATTTGATGAGAGAGGCTTGCTTGAATCTGTGCTATGGAATCCAGTGACCTAGTCTGTATGAGAGCTCTGCTCCACACACAACTTATACCATCAAGGTAAAAATTCCAGTTTGCTTGTTAGTTTGTAAAAGTGTGATCCCGTTTTCCCCAGGTGAAATTCCTGATCTTTTCCCTGATGATGAAGTTGAAAACATCATCAGCAGTGTGAGAAACGAAGTCAAAAGCCAAGGACTGGTGGACACCAGGGAAACCTGCTGGAAATTCTTCATAGACCGTGTTCGACGACAGCTAAAGGTAAGACTATGCCCAGGAGAATTTGCATCCCTACCCTTGGGCTCAATGCAGGGGTAACCCTACAGAGTGAAATTCCATGGCCTGTGTATACAGGCAGTCAGACTAGGTGATCTAATAGTCCCTTCTGGCCTTAAAGTCTATGAATACCTGAATTGTCCAACACACCAAACAGCGCTTCAATTGAAGGAACATACCACCTCTGATAATTGCACACCGTACCTTTGTATAGTAATATGATGATTAGGAATTTCTGTCCAATATTTTTAACATATTGAACTAGTAAGAAGACAAACAGTGACTGATAACATTTCCTTAAAGACATTTTTTTTACATTTTTCCATATTTAATTAAACACAATCTCTCACTCCCCCAAAATGATGATTTTCCCCACAGACCTCTGCTAAAATACCATAAGCCTTTCCATTTTTTAGGTGGTATATTGGGATTTAGCCCTGGAGTCACATGGCTAAATCCTTGAATGCTTCTTGGAAAATCTAGGCAAAGGGTTCCATCTTAACCTCATATAAGCCTGGTAACTTGATGCTTTGCAGCTATGAGAACTCAAATCAGCTGTCTTCAGTCATATGGGCCGTGGCATCTAGACTAGAGATGAGTTTTGACATTTCAGCTCTAACGTGTTTCTTCTACCTACAGCACAACTTCTCAAATCTGGAAGGTCTTATAAATAAAGAGACCCCAATCTGACATGGCGGGGTGTGGGGGGGAATCTGATATTCATTTTGAGACTCTTTGGGTTTTAATGTCCCTAGGTTTCTTATTTGATTGGGAGGTAGAATTGCATAGGGAAATGACTCCTGCTAGAATATCAGGCAACTTCCTTAATCTTTGTGCCTGCAAGTTGGACATTAGGTCATCATACAATAAATCCAATTATTACCCAATAGGAAGGCTTCTTTCTTTTTTTTTTATTAATTTGTTTCACTCCAACTCATTATCACTTTACATCTGCAGAGGTTGCATCAGTGCTAAACAGTGTTATTGTCCAGAGAAGTGTGTCTTTTCCTTGTCAGAATGAGGCTACCCTTACATTACAAGTGCGATATTGACTTTGCTACAACTAAACAAACGCACTCAGCATTTCACACACTGCATCCTATGGTAGGAGACATGATTCCTGAGAAGTTTGCGGAAGATCTTTTGGAAATATGCCTAATTTTGGCTACAGCTTTGTTTAAGCTATCAGCCTTGGAGAGGACAGGTGGTAAATACATTGGGAGCTCAGGGGATCCTAGAACATGCAGAACACAGAGACATGCTGCTGAGAGCTCACTCACATGTTATTTGAACTTGCTAAAATAAATAAAAACCCAGTTTAAAGACTTGCCAAAGGGTGGGCCCTCCTCGTTGCCAGAGAAAGCACTGTGGGATACGGAGCTAAGCGGCAACAGGAAGTTGAAAGCAAGCACACCTCCTGCAGACACTGCTCAATGCCCCACTTCCTGTTGAGACTCGCTCTGTGTCACTCTCACACACAAACTCTCTGGTGTGGGAACTATGTCTCTTACTACGCACCACGCCTGACACAATAAAACCTCCATCTCAGCTTGGGGCATCTGCTGCTTCTGCAGAAACAGTCATAGTAATAAATAATAATAATGATACCACCACCAGGTAGCAGCGGTAGAGAGTGAGACGGAGAACACAGCCAGGCTAGAGTACAGCAGCATCCCTAGGGCAGTGAAACAGGGCTGGGAGTGAGGAGCTTCCTGACGTGTGTTGGTGTAAACCAGCTCCTGGGCCATATTGTACCATTGTGTTTGTGTCTGAGTGACGTGCTCAGTGAGGTGCTTGAGAACTGGGCACCCAGCTTGTCAATGGCAGCTGTGCATGTAGGCTCGATCCAGTTGGTTCGGGAGCGGAAAGGGGAGTATCAGAGAGCTCGTAGGTGTCTGAGGGCCAGCCCCAGCCCCTCTGCAATGTGAAGCTTCTGACAGGCAGCATTAAATAGTGCCACTGCTTGAGGTCCTTAACTGCCCCTAGTGCAGGGTTGCTATGGTAGGGTAGAGCAGAGCTCCATGCCCCCCTCTCCCAGACACATCCTCTAGGCCAGGAAAGTGGGAGGTAGGGGAACAGCTGCACCAGCAGAATGTTCCCCTCTGGTACAAGAATCTTTGCTGGGCATCTGTGGCAAGGTTATGGCTCCTTTGGGTCACCTGAGTCCCCTCATGACCAGTGCCCTGCACTGGAAATGTACCCTATGGTCAAAGGATAGGTGGATTTTCCACTAAGGGAGGAGTGTTTTGATTCATTGAGACTTGGTTCCATGCTTCTATTTCCTTGTTCTTTCTCATTAACAACATGATAGGGAACAGCTGTTCTGGGGTCAGCTGTTAAGTGTTGCTAAATTCTTTACTGCATTTAATAATGGAAATCTGCAGTCTGTGTAATAAACCAAGAAGCAGACTATAGCATGCCTTGTACATCAAGTGTCCCAGGTTTGATCAGCACAGGAGTGGATCTCCGACTGAACAGCAGACTGGAGGAGAGCAAATGTCAATATGTACAGCCATTTTGCCTCCCCCCACTCAAGGCCTATGTGTACAGCATCTAGCACAGTGGGGTTCTGGCCCATCACTAGGGCTCCTACGAGAATACAAATATTTAACAACAACAGTAGTAATTAATAATGGAGCATAGCTTGGCAGTACCTGAGGGTTGGGGCCCGGAGCTTTGCCCGGCACACAGAGAGTAACACAGACAACTGCAAGAGGCTACACACCTAAATCTAAGTCTGTAGAAAGAACAGTATGTTGGTGTTATTTTGAAGTAGTGGGTGATCATGTTATTAAAAACTGGATTACATAGCTTCAGATAGACACGTATAGGATCTTGGAGTATTGTGTACTGCTCTGTGTATGAGAGACAGAGTTTGTAAAAGCCAGTTAGATGAGAATACTCAGTAAGCCATACTGAAACAAGATACAGTAGATAAAGGGCCTGATTCTCACTGATGCTACGGTCCCTTTCCACGACTCCACACCCTAGGTCTATATCTATTTACAGCCATTTCAAGGCCCGTTTATGCTGCCAGAGTGCTGTATAAATGAGAGCCAGGCCCTAAATATGCAGCATTGAGTAACAGTGAAAGTTTGCTAGGTTCCGCCAGCAGGGTGATTCTGGCCCATTACACCATAGTGTAACCCACACACCACCTAGGTGTGGTGCTCTGTCCCCTTTAGTGGCACCGAGACCACTTAAAGATTAGTGAGTCTGTTCTACAGCCTTAGCTAACCGCCATATGGCTTTTAGCTCATGCAATAGAGGCTCATGCATTTAGCTCTAGAGGTCCCAGGTTCAATCCCGCCAGCTGACGACCGGGGTCTGTTGGTGTTACAATAGCAGTACTTCAGGGGAGCAGTTTGCTTTTATTTCAGAGAGAAAGGAGTGCTGGCTGTTCGGTTATCCTGTTTTATATGGAATTTCCAACTGCAGATGCACTGGCCCAAGACGCAAAGGCTCAAAGCTCAAGAGATCATTCTGGGTGCGGCTCCTGATCTTACTCTGAAATCCTCCCGGGGAGTCATTCTCCCAACAGGGAAAACCCAAAGCTGCAGCTATGTCAGGTGCCTCCCCGCCTGCTGCCCTGCCTCTTCTTACTCCTCAGGTTGCTCTTTGTTTCTCACCCGTTGGTAACAAGCTGAGAATTCGCAGCAGGAAATTCCCAGCTGTGGTGAACTGCACAGCGATAGACTGGTTCCACGAGTGGCCTCAAGAGGCATTGGAGTCTGTCAGCCTGCGCTTCCTGCAAGAAACTGAGAACATTGAGGTGAGGTTCCAACAGAGGTAACCCCTGCTGACTCTGCAGCTCCTGATCTGTCAGCTGCGAGTCCTTCCAGCCCAAGATGGACCCTGTGCGCCCCAGTGCACTCACCGTGATCTCATCAGCTAGTCATGAGCGGCTGTAGCCTTGGCTTCATTAGCAGAAGTGAGAAGCTGCTGCATCCAAGCCCAGCCTGAAGTCCTCTGCAAGAGAGGGCTGTAACTCAGTCACAGTGGTGCAGTCAGCACCCAGCTTCCGCAGCAACCTGCTATTACTGTAAGCAGTACATTCAGACTGAATTCCCAGTAATGTTACAGTAGAGCCTCCGCTCTACCAAAAGAGACAGCTTTACTTCTTTTGCTGCAAATGTGTCTGGGAATTTTTAGGTATTCTCTAGAGCAAATACATTTGAAGCTCGGTTTGACGTCTACTTAATACTCAACTAACAGCTAAATGGATTTATTCATTTAGCTTTTCTACATAGTATTTAGTTGAGTTATATTGTCTAGAACGTCTCTTTTAATGAGTATGTATTTTCCTCTCTCTACAGAACTGTTCTTATTTAATTAGTAAAAGGGAGTTATTATATACAAATGAATGGTATAAAAATTACTCAGTACAGTATGTTCAAATGTAGAGCACAAGTAACAGCAAATGGAGAAATTCTAGAGAGAGTAAATTAATGAAGAGCCCAAATGAGATGCTACACAGTCAATTGTGCTGTAGTAGAAGGCAATGATTAATAGATTTCCTTACTTTTTGTTTTGTATAAAATATCGTCTCTTTCATTTTAGCTTTCAGTGAAAGACTCAATAAGCAAGTTTATGGCTTATGTCCATACAAGTGTCAATGAGATGTCCCGGTCTTATCTGAGCAATGAACGTCGCTATAACTACACCACACCCAAGTCATTCCTCGAGCAAATCAAACTCTACCAAAATTTGTTATTTAAAAAGGGCAAGGAGCTGACAGCAAAAATGGAGCGACTGGAGAATGGCCTGCAGAAACTCAACAGCACATCTGCACAGGTGAGAAGACCCTTCTCTTGTCTCTGCTCTGAATGCTGATTTGTTTAGTTGTTTCTCAGCTCAATGCATACTGTGCTCCAGTTTGGAATCAAAACTGCAGATTAAAAGTGGGATGCAGGTAGTGAATGTCTGTGCTGGATCCTGGCTTTAGAATCCCCACCTCTCCCGTCCAGGGCTTGGGCTCAATTCTCAGATGAGACAAGCTTCTATTCCATGCAGGGGGGAGGAGGAGAGTGAGAGTGAGGGTGTGTGTGTGTAAAGCCCGCTGCTGTGGTTCTGAACTAATCACTGCGCAAGCAGAGAATCAAGTAGAGATCAATTTGATAAGTAGGTTTATGTAATTATGGTAATTGTTTCTCAGTTACACATAATATAGTATCTTTGCATAGTCTGGGCCAGAGTGAGACCTGGAGTAAGGTCAAGGGAGCCGAAGTCAATGATTTTGCAACTGCTTACACTAGATCTGCATCTGTACAGCTTCAGCTACACATTGTGTCTTGTCATACTGCCATGGATGTGTGATAAAAATGGGTAATGATGGGATCATTTTCCCTTACAAATCAGGATACACATTTTTAAGAAGCCCTAGTTAATGAGCATTCCTGAATAACCCAGTAGACTGAAATCCACTTGTAAAGAACCTAGCTTGGTAAACTGCTAAAATGATGACTGGCTGTATATTGTTCTGGGTAATTGGCAACTCTCTCGACTCTGCAGAAATTGGCACTGCATTTCAATCAAATGCCCACTGTTCCTTTGGAACCACTTCATCATCAGTTCTACCTTTCTTGCTAAATCCATCCCACACACTCTGTTTTACACTTCATTAGAATCATAGACCCATAGGGTTAGAAGGGGCCACAAGGGTCATCTAGTTAACCCCCTGCCAAGATGCAGGATTTGTTGTGACTAAACCATCCAAGACAGATGGCTCCTCCTTTTGAAAACCTCCAGTGAAGGAGCTTCCATGACCTCCCCAGGCAGTTTGTTCCATTGTCCTACTGTTCTTACAGTTTTTCCTGAGATTCAATCTAAATCTGCCATGCTGTAGTTTGAACCCATTGCCTCTTGTCCTGCCCTCTGTGGTAAGAGAGAACAACTTTTCTACTTTTTTATGGCAGCTTTTCAATATTTGAAGACCACTATCATGTGCCCCCTTAATCTCCTCTTTTCCAAACTAAACATGCCCAGTTCCTTCAGCCTTTGCTCATATGGTTTGCATTCCATCCCTTTGATCATCTTTGGCACTCACCTCTGCATCCTTCCCAGTTTCTCTATATCCTTTCTATACATTCATTGGTGACCAAAACTGGACACAGTACTCCAGCTGAGGCCTAACCATTGCCGAGTAGAGCTGTACTGTCACCTTCACCTTCCGTGACTTGCATGCTATGCCTCTGTTAATGCAACCTAAAATTGCATTTGCGTTTTTGTGAAACAGCATCGCATTGCTGACTCATGTTGAGGTTGTGATCCTCCACAACTCCCAGATCCTTCTGAGCAGTGCTGCTGCCAAGCCAGTTATCCCCCATTCTATATTTCTGCATTTGATTTTTCTTCCCTAAGTGTAGCATCTTACATTTGTCTTTCTTGAATTTAATTTTGTTATCTATAGCCCGGTTCTCCAATTTATAAAAATCCCTCTGAATTTTAGTTCTATCCTCTAAAGTGTTGGCAGCCTCCCCATAGCATTATGTAATTTGCCAATATGATCAGTATGCTCTCTATTCCTAAATCCCGATAATTAATAAAGATGTTGAATGTCACGAACCAGAACAGATCCCTGTGGAACCCCACTCAAAACCTCCTTCCAATCTGACATCGTTCCATTAATAGTTACTCATTGTGTGGTTGTTTAACCAATTATGTATCCACTTAATGGTAGATTCACCAAGCCCACATTTCTCCAGCTTACTTATGAGATGTGGGACTGTGTCAGAAGCCTTGTTAAACTCCAGGAATATTATGTCCATCACATTTCCCAGGTATTAACCTAGGTAAGGAATCTCTTATTTACCTTTTTGTGCTGAGGGAAATGGGCCCAACTTGATGCCACCCCAACCAGAATGTAGAACGAGGGGAAGAGGGGGATACTGAGAAAACCCCAGTAGGGACCAGCAGGCTTCATCTTTTCCATTTGAACTAACTGGACAACATTGGTGATGGAAGCTTTCCCTCTGGTGCCCAATGGAGAATGGAGATTGCTGCAGACAGGCTATGGGCTATATCATAGAATCGTAGACTATCAGGGTTGAAAGGGACCTCAGGAGGTCATCTAGTCCAACCCCCTGCTCAAAGCAGGACCAATCCCCAGACATCTTCAGTACTGCTGAGTACCCATAACTGCAAAGGAAGTCAAAGGGAGCTGCGAGCACTCAGCATCTTTATACATTGGGCCCTATGTGTAGCTTGCTCAATTTGGGGCCGAAGCATCTTCTGTAATCCGCAGCTTGCAGTTTTTATGACATTTAATGGTGGAGAAGATGGCTCACATCTGTGTTTCTTACTGGCAGCTGACTCTAATACTAATACAAACACCAAAGCCCCTACTACTTTAGGAATGGTTTCCTAGACGTCTCAGTGGGCATTTATTTACAAGGTCCAACACAATATCGGTAGTGTCCCAGGAGTCTGGGATGAAATGTGGAGCTTTTAATGATCAGCATGGCTTTCTCCTGCCTTCTCTTTTCCTTGGGATATTTCTGGTGTTGTGGGATAGGCTATCATTAAGCTTGAAGGTGATTTCACATTGGACTAGAATTGAAGCAAGTAGTGATTGTTCATAGAGTTGACTGACATTAAAACCACAGTTTTCAAACTTGGATGTGCAAAATTAAGCACCTCACTAAAACTGACCTGATTTTCAGAGGTGCTGAGCAGTCACAGCTGCCATTGACTTCAGAACAAGTTCTGGATACTTAACACTGATGACAACCAGTCCACTTATTTAGATGCCTGAAGATGGACGTAGATGGCAACTGCAAGCAGTCTGGTTTGGAAACATCAGCCTGACCTCCATGGAAATGACACGAGTTCTATTGCGCAGAGTGGACTGCAAGTGCAAAGAGACAGATGCTCTGTCCCTCTCAAGTGTGTAGTCTGATGTTTTTATTAAATGGGATTTTGAAGGCTTTTTTTTTTAAGCAGGGAAAAAGAATTTTGACATCTACGTAGGGAACAAGCTGTGCCTCAAGGCTGAGGGCGATGGTCCTGATCCACAAAGGGACTTAAGCTTTGTGACACTGAGTGTCCCTCTCCTGGAGTCAGGCAGCTTAGGTGCCTAAGCCGTTTCTTGTGAGAATGTTTTAGGCAGCTGCTTAGTGCCACCCAAAATGGCCAGAAGAGGAGGTGGTGGTGGTGGTGCCTACATTATCACTTTATCCCAGTGGTAAGATCACTCACCTGAGAGGTGAGAGACCCCTATTCAGATCCTTTCTCCTCCACAGGCAGAGGGGGGAATTGAACCTGGATCTCCCCCGTCCCAGGTGAATGCTCTAACCACTTGGCTAAAAGCTATAAATTGGCCACCTCCTCTTTCTCTGGCCAGATTTTGAATGGGACTTAATCTGTATGGCTCTGAGCGTGCCTACCGGATTGGGCCTCACAGGTGAGCTAGGTGCTCCTCTACTGATCCTTCCCCACTTTGTGGATCGGTCTGGGGCTCATGTGGGAGAGATGCATCTGGAGACCTAGTGTGAGTTAGCAGTGCACCTGCCCAAAGACAGAAACATCAGTGCCAAGAACTTTTACCCTGAAAACTTAAGTGCCGAGTGACTGTAGATGCCTGCAGAGTTAGGCAGCAGCTGAGCGGGAGTTTTGTGGACCACAGTGGTGCCTAAAATTGGATCTTCAGTGCCTAAGTAGCTTTGTGGATCCAGGCCTGTGCTCCCATTCCCAACGTAGTTCTCACTGCTCTTGGTGCCTGGAAGTTAATGGCTAGTTAATTATAGGTATTGAATACGTTGTGGCACCTTAGGACACTGATTTTAACTTGGGCACTTACAATCTTTTCTCAGGGTGTTTCTTGAATTAGCCATTCTAGTTTCAAAATCTTCCCCCCCCCCCTCTTTTGGGATTTGGAAATCTTGGCATTCGTGATTAGCTTCTGTTTTAGGTGGCTGTCTTTCATTAGCTTATGTACTAAACAAAACTTCAGACAATGGCTGTCCTCCATTTCCAGAAAAGTCACAGGCTAGCTCCCAGGTAGGAAGACCTTAATGAAATTGGAGAAGTCTGCTGGTTGAGTAATTTATTTTTCAGAGCTATGCTCAATAAAAAGAGGTCTGTTCAAAGCCCTGTTGCTGAGTTAACTTTTAATATGACTTTTGTTAAAATTGCATCGTTGAATTCTAGATCCAGGTCTCGCCTGCTGTACCAATTAATTGCTGACCTTTGTGATGCAGTGTTTGTGTTCTTGAAACGCAGCATGGGCATTCAGATTAAATGTGCCTGCTGGGAGTCTGCCCTCCAGGTTTTCTGTTATTTAATAATTCTTCTTGCTGTGTTCCTGGTCATAGTCAAGTCTTTCCTATCTCCCAGTTGGAGTCGCAGTGCATTTCCCTTGAATGTCTGGCTTGCTTTGTTCTTTTCCTTTCTCCTCCACCTTAGACATTGCTTATCTGCCTAACCAGAACACATAGAAGTGTCTCACCGCATCTTCCCATTTCTTAGCCCAGTTGGTGATTGCACACTCCGTATTGCTATTGGTTGATAATCTCATTATCTATGCTGAGGCACTCTTGGATCTTTTTGCTAACACCCTGATCTAATCAGGCTTGAGATGATAATCGGGAAGGAGCATGCTAAAATTTTCAAATTTCCTTGGGGTGTTCACTTACGGTCATTTCTCAACACCTCGTTCTTTCTCTTACCGGACATGGCCTTAGAGGGCTGTTCTCCCTTTTAGTCTTTTCCTCCTCCCATTGCCATTCTGCCATCTTCAGGTAAAAATGTATCTTATGCTTGCGTCAGTGCTGGCAGGCACATGAAGGGTTAATGTT